CTTCTTGTCTTTGAACTCCCTCTCCTGCCTTTGGACTTAGATCTTCCCCTGTAACTGTTTCTCCTCTCTTTCTTTCTACCTCTTCCCTCAGTGCTCAGCAGAGAACTTGATGGTTCACCTGTATTCTTTCTCCTGATGTCTTCTCCTAAGATAAAATCACGGATTCCCTCAAACGTGAGTGTGGTGTTTCCAGCTGAACCACTAATAGCCGTGACTGATCCTGACCAACTATCCGGTAAAGAAGATAAAAGAAGCAAAGCTTGTACCTCATCATCAAATTTGATATCTACTAAAAGCAAACGGGATATAATGGTATTGAAAACATTGATATGAGTAGTAACAGAACCACCTTCCCGCATACGAGTGTTAATTAATTGTCTAATCAAGAATACCTTATTAGACGCGGAAGGTTTCTCATACATGTTTGACAACGTTGTCATAACCCCACGAGCAGTGGTCTCTTTCACGATGTTGAAAGCCACATTCTTTGTCAAAGTGCACCTGATGACAGCTAGGGCTTTTCTATCCAAGTCAGCCCATTCTTCATCCTTCATCTTCTCGGGTTTCTGACCTGTCAAACATGGAAGAAGATCTTTCTGACATAGCAAGTCCTCGACTTGCATCTTCCACCATCCAAAATCTTGCCCATCAAACTTCTCTATCCTGATCTTTCCGTCCTCAGACATCATCTCTTCTGAGTATCCAAAAAACTGACCAGAGAACACGTGAGAACAGATTGAAACAAACAACCCGAACTGACCTCGAAAATTACAGCAGCAAACTGAACAGCAAGGTTGTTCGGACTGCCAATAGATGACTATATCGTTGGTCTTCTGATGTGTCGGCAGAAACCCTAGAGTCACTAGGGTTGGCAGTGGAGGCAGATCTGTGTGTACGACCTAGGCTCTGATACCAGTTGTTAAGAACAAAAGCACACACACGAATATAAAACAAGAAAGCGATAAAGAACACGAGATTTAACGTGGTTCGGTCTAATCTGACCTACATCCATAGGGGCAACTAGGGTTTGTATTATTGAGTGATAATGATTACAAGTACATGAGATCATATATATAGACAACTAATTAGGGTTTAACCCTAATCTGGTCTCCTAACTCTCAGTTGTCTACAAGTGGGCCACTTTGCGCCGATGACTACACATCACCAACACTTACGCCAAACGTTACCTCCTTGCTTTGGTTCTCGATTAGCATTCGGTTCCCTTTCCTTCATCTCTCCTTCCATCTTTTTGAAGAATTGGCATTCTTCGGTGGCGTGCCCATGCCTTCTATGGAAGTTGCAATATTTTTCTAGGTCATAGGGCCACTGCCTTCTTTTTTGGTCTCCACGTTTCCTCTTCTGTCCACCCCCCTCCTTGCTCTTAATTTCTGCCACCGGTGCAGCCAGCGGCTTAAGGGTAGGGATGGAGAGAGTGGTCGCCTTAGTTTTTTCGCCTTTCTTTTCTTTTTCTGAACCTTTGTGCAAGGCTCCCTCATCTTTTCCTTTTAGGCGGTCCGACTCTTCCGTGGCACAAAACTTGTTGACCCTAGCCATCATAGACTTGTAAGAAGTGGGGGTATCGTAATCTAACCTTCTGAACAATTCCCCCGATCTGAGAACACTCATGAATAGAGCGATGGAAGTCTTATCGTCCATGGGCTCCACCTCATTGATCGCCTCATTCCACCTTTGTACCAACTCAGTGTTGGTTTCTCCCTCCTTTTGCTTTAGGGAGAAAAGATGGGTGAAGTGCTTCTTTGGCTGGAACCTTCCTCCATAGGCATTGAGGAAAAGTTGAGCAAGATCTTTGAAGCAATCAATGGTCCCATTAGGAAGGGTGAGGAACCATTTTACGGCCGGCCCCTCCAAGGTTCCTACGAAGAGGCGACATTGGATCTCGTCCTCCACGTCATGCATCAACATGTGGGTTTGGTACGCGACCAAGTGATCATTGGGATCGGTGACTCCTTTATAACGGATTTCAGGGGCTTTCATACCCCTGGGCAGTCGAGCTTTCATCACCCTGGTACTCTGGCAGTAAAGGGAGAAATTATCTCTACTGTGGGTCCAAAAGACCCATCCTTATCAACCTGCCTCTTTAGTTCCTCCATTTCTTTTCTCAATTTGAGGATGTCTCTGGCATCTTCATTGCCGGCCCCCCAGAATTTTCTCCAGATTCCTGAGTTCTGGGTCCCAGCCTTTGGGACGCATTTTTGCGCATCCTCTTGTGTTCGATCCTCCTTTCATTCTCCTCTTTTTTTTTTGGCGGACCGACTAATACAAGGAGTCCCTCTGGATGGACCGCGAACTTATCTCCCTCACTTGGAGTGGACCGTTGATTCTTCCCAGGTCTAGGAAGAGGTCTTTCCAAGTGAACTGGAGTGAGATAAGCTCGCTATCAACTCCCCAGAAGGCTAGGAAGCTTCAATCGGTCCCACGGATGGCGCCAGTGATGGATACCCAATATTTTCCCAGGGACTGTAGATCGGCCCAGGTCCAAATATAGGTATCCGGGCCTTATAATATTGAAAGAATAATACGAGAATAGTAATTAACAGTAATGGAAGCACTGTTCACGGAATAAGAACTCAAACCGGCGGTCCTCTCCTTTATTCGATCCTCTTGAGAACGGAATATGCTTAAGGATCGCCGGAATATCTTTTATTATTACTCAAGTATTTTATCTCTCTATTACAAGATATCTCTACTCCCCAAGTCCCTTTCTCTTTTATAGTCACTCCCCATCCATTATCCTCTTTAATAATGGTAGTGATTGGGGGAATATTCGTGCCAGCCTTACTCCTTCTGGGGGCATGTATCTCAGCTTGAGGCCATCCACTGGAGGACAAGCCTGTCCGTCCATCTCTTGCTCCCTGTCCGTCCCTTTCTCCTCGTCCTTGTCCCTTCAATTGAGGGGGGACTACTCTAGACTCTTCCATAGGATTCCTTTCCTTTTTGGGGTAGCTTATTCTTAGTGGGCTGGGCTTCAGCCCATCCTTAAGCCCCCAATCCTTTCCTTTTTCCTATCTTTCCTCACGGACACTTCCTTTGACCGGCCCAGTATATTTTTCTCTGGGCCGGATACTCCTTTCGATGGACGGGATCTAAATTGGGCATGGACCTAATTCGCTAGTATTCTCTCGATGGGTTTGGTTCCCATCACACTCTCTCCAACATATATAATAATAGTAATAATAATAATGATACATGAAAAACACATCATTTTTAGTGTCATTGTTTGGTGAGTAGCAAAAGATTAAAGAAAATGAGAATAGTTGAAAAAACTGAAAAGAACTAAAAAAATTGAGATAAATTGGAAGAAAATAAAAGAAAGTACTCCTCCCGTTCCGTTTTAAATCGCCTGTTTTGACTTTTGGACATATTTAAGGAAAAAAAAATAGAGTTTATTTTCTGAAATTGTCATTACTTTTTAGGAGAGGTGACGATGAATGAAAAGATAAGGTGGAGAAGAGTGACTTATTTTAAGGGTAATTTAGGTATTTTAATCTTAAAAATTTACGATAACAAGTAACAGACAACTTATTTTGGAACAGAAAAAAAAGGCAAACAGACAATTTAAAATGAGACAGAGAAGTATAAATTAAGAAATTAATCTCTAAAGAAGATGCCCTAATTTGACATAGGGTTAGGATTTGCATGAATGACAGCAAACAAACATTATATTTCCGGTCATTGGCTTGCATGGTTATAAGTATGATACTCCAATTTGATGTTTCATAATTAACAATTGATTTGATTGAACAAATGGAAGACGAGACGAGTTGAAATAGCATGAATGGGTTGGCGTTTAGCAAAACTGATTTTCAAGTTCAGTTCCAAAGCTCGATCAGTCCCATAAAATTAGGTTAAATTTCCAACAATAGTCTTTCACGTTAGCGTTGTGTAATTGGTATTTTCGTTAATTAACTTAATGTTAATTCATGTATTTTTTCCATTTTCTATTATACATATTATAATAGAAAATGACTCATTATATTTTAGGTATTTCAAGCACCTTATTAAGTGCACCTTTTTAATACAGGATTGTATTATTTACATGTGTTTGACAATATAATACTCATGAAATATTATTAACATACTAACAAAAAGAAATTAATATACTTGTTTCATACATACAGTAGGGGGAATAATTCTTTGGCGAAGTTTAGTTCAAGATTTGAGATAAATGTATAAAAACTAACAAGATGTAATAGTCATTTGTAGAAGATTTGGTTACCAAGATTTATTCACTACTATTACACGTAATCCTCAATAGCTAGAGATTGCAAGATATATGACAATAAGGTAATATAGAGCTGAAGACAGGCCTAACATTGAGTTTAGAATTTTTAAAATGAAATTGGATCATTTGGTGAAGGACATAAAATAAGATTTATATTTGGTGAAGTAATTAAATTAAAAGTATTTTTAATGTCTGCTATATTGGTTTCATTTAAACAATAAAGTTGTTGTAGTTCACACATTCAAATTTTTAATGTTTGAATTGTATGATTACCTTTTTCCATTACAAGTTCCATACAACCTTGGTCTTCAAGTTGTGTTCGAAAACCAATCCATTTTCATCTAAAATTAAAGACTTTCTTTTTTCATCCGTCCCAAAAAACACTTCTCATTTCTATTAAAAAGTCACTTTTACCCTTTACTTTTTCATACCCTACCTATCACATCATACCTTTTTACTAATAATCAATCCATCAAATCATACTTTTACGCATCACATCTAAGAACATTTTTGGAAATTCAATACCAAAATACACTTCTCTTAAATCCCTCTTCAAAATCAAAACTCCCATGTTTTACGGGACGGAGGGAGTATATTGAAAAAATAGCAATGCTTTAACACTACTATTTAAGTAAATCTCCCTTCAAGTGATACACTTGTGTGTTTTATCTCAAATTTCAAATTTCTATATCCTAAGTGTGGTTATCTTCAGTGTGAGTTTTAGATTTCATATTTTTAATTGTGTTTTATCTTAATTCTTAATTAAATTCTAGACTTAATCCCATGTTAATCCAAAAGTAGACAAACAAACCATTTTGAATCTAGCGGATTGAGCACTTTCAAATGGATTCCCTTCCCCTTGAAATCAATATTTGGAATGCAACCGCAACACCTATATACATGTTGTCTGTGGGTTTGTACTTCCAGATGAATAATCAGGTTAAATGGGTCATAAGTCATTCCTAATAAGGACAACGATGCTAAAAACTCACGGATTGCTAGGACTAAACATCAAGACGAAAACCTTAACAAATGTAGTGGGCCAACACCTCGATATGATACCCTGAAAACATTTTGGATGGAGGATACTCTAACAACTTGAGTTTTTTTAAGGTTGTTCTCCTGGCATCAGAGTATTCTTGACTTAAATGTCTTGAGTTCAAATCTTACCGTTAGTGTCCAGAAATTAACTCAACTTAGAGCTCAAAGTTGTGGTTGTAGCACATGAAAGATTTTTTTATATTCTAATACGTCCCTTCATATGCAGGCGTAGCCTTTTTCGAGTCTTGCACGTGAATTGAAACCTTAAAACTTTTTTAAATTTTAGGTAGTGTTGAGTTTTGAACCTGTGACTTCTTTGTCTACAAGATTCTCATACCATGTCAAGAAACCAACTCAGCCAAAAACTCAACTGAAACAAAATAAATCTGGGTTGCACGTGAGAGAGTGTACTAAAGTATAAAACTTTTACTTGATCTACAATCACAACTTGTACTTTTCGTTGACTTGATTCCTTGAATCCAAAATCATAAAATCTAAAGTATTTTCAATATCCAAACACAGTTAAATTAAACCAATCACGAAACAATAATTTATTTATTTCAGCATCAAGACACTAGCGGCTTCATAAAATCCGAACACCGTCTAATGGTATTATCGGTAAATGTCCATATAAATTGGACTTATGCATGTAATTAAACACTGAAAATCTAGCTGATATATCACAACTATAAATTTATTCTATCACTCACATTATTTGATCGAAAAACAATTATTTTAGATTTTTAAATCGATCACAAGTGAGGTACATATAACGACAATTATTTTAGATTTTTAGATTTGTGATATCACCCTCGAGCTAGCTAGTTTTGAAATGCCATACCCACACCAAGAAAGTCCGACGCATTTGATCCAGCATAAGCTCTACCACCATGTTCCAAATACCCACTCAAAAGGTTTGGCAAATGAATGCTAACTTTCCTAGTAGCCAAAACCTTTCCGTTCTCATCAAACTTCACCGCAAAGGACTCTTTGGTAGGAATACTTGGTTGGTTTGGTTCCTCATTAAAGATGTTCATGGCCATCCAAAACCCCTCCGGCTTGGCCCTTTTCACATTTCCCGGGTTCCCTTTGACGTTTTCGAGTTGTAGTGTCTCGGTTGTATGCGCCTTCGGGCCTTTGATGTGATACTTGACAACCTTTCCCGAGATGTACTCGGAGATGACAAGGAATGTTTGGTCGCTGCTCATGGCCATTCCTCCGGGCCCCGAAAGCCCGTCTAGAACAACTGTTGCTTCACCTGTCGTCGCCTCGTACTTTAAAAGCCTCCCTGTTGTGTCTCCACTCCCCAGAATCCTTGGATTTTCCCTACAAAGTGAAGTAAATGCTTAATTATCTACATGCGTTGCAAAGGTTACTGGGGTAAAATTCATTGATCGTACATGAACTTGAGTGATATACCATTTTGGTACCTAAATTTTATTTCCCCTAAGGTAGTGTTTGGCAACTAGCATTTCATTTCAATTCATGCATTTCAATTCCAAAATTTGAAATCTTGAATTTCAAATGACAAGGGGAGGTGCATGAATTTCAAATTAAATTTTGTTATGAATGAGAAGAATTTAACTCAAATCCAAATTCAAATTTTTAAATTTCCCAAACATGGAATTTGAGCCAAATCCGGATTTGAAATCCAAATCCATATTCCCAAACATACCATAAAAGAATTTGAATTTTGAAAAAATATTCACAAAACACTAGAGGAGAGTTTATAGATTATTGTCGGGTTCACTTTGAGCCTAACTACAATTTTACATATTTCAAATTTTTAATTTTGACCCTTTATTATATAGAATTATAATTACGCCCAAAGTGACCTAGGAGTAACTTGAAAACTGGCTCCATGTACTTTTGCGAAACTTCTTCAAAGTATATGTACTTTTGCAAGAAGAAGTAAAGTTTAGGAATCAAAATGATATATCACTCAAAGTTTAGGTACACCATATGTAAAATTTACCCCATATTTGTCCCAAAAAGGAGAAAATTCTATTTTTTAACACTTTACGCGACTCATTGGAGTTCGAACATGTAAGCTACCATATATTCAAGAGAAATTTACCTAAATAGGACAAAAATATAATGATTTTCTCAATGTAAGACTATATGTTTTTATTTTCCAATGTAGGTCCTTTGGTCATTATCAATTAGTCATTCTTCAAGTAAATGTCCATCATTACTGGACATTATTCCTCCCACTAGACATTATTAAGTCCTATTTATGGAATAAAAAAGTTTAAGTCCTACATTGAGAAATGACTTATGTTTTAGTCCTATTTAGTGCAAATTTCACAATCAAAGGACAAATATGAGAGCGGAGGAGTTCCTATGACATTGGAATCTCACATTATGGAATGACCCGGGGGCGTTATGGTGTCCCATTCATAAAATTGATGATTCTTACTCCCACTAACCCTCCGATAAACCCTCACCCCGCCCGATCCAAACACACCCACACCCATTCAATTGCACTCTCAAAGTTAGTTTTAACTCTAGAAGCATCCAAAGTTAGAGTTAAGTTTGGGGGTACAATTGAAAGGGGCGAGGGGGTGCGTTCAAGTCATGGCGGGGTGATGGGGTTTACCGAGTGACTAAGGGTGTATGAATCGTCAATTTTACAAACGGAGTACCGTAAAGCCCCTGAGTAATCTCATGACATAGAGTTCTAATGTCATGGGAACTCCTCCAATAGAGTGAGACCAGCAATACTGCAGTAGTAAGGAACATACACTGTGCGGAATATGGCGCCGGAATCTATGAAATACAAATTCCCCGTTGACTTCTCTATCTCCACCGCGTTTAGAAAGCTGAAGTTTTGACCATTGACGCCGGCCACTATCTGAGTGGCCAGCCCACCATTTGGGCCGACCTTTAAAAGCCCATATAAAACGTCGCAGATATAGAGCTCCCCTGTGCGTTGGTCGAAGTTGAGGCCCGTGGGCCTTCCACACGCGATTCGGAACTTTGGATAACCTTTTACCTCACATTCTTCTTTTCTCCTAAATAAAAAAAAGAGTATATTCCATAAAAAGTCTCAAGTTATATGTTATTTTACATATTTAGTCCTTACATATCAAATATTACTAATTTAGTCCCTAATTATTATATCATTTTTCACAAATGGTCCTTTGTTAACATTTTTGTTAAGAACATGGATAAAATTATATGTTCATACTTTTCTTTCTCCTCAATTAAGCTTACTCCCTCCTCTCATATTATTTCCCAAACTCGTCGCAGAGTTTGAAGCTCTAAACCCAAAACTTTAATGATCATTCATCTCTCAGTTATTAGTCTTCCTACCTAAAATCAAAACAAATGAGCTTTAAGGATGAGTTTTATCGGTGAGTCTCAAAAATTTGCAATGAAAATAAACATTAAAACTCATCCATGAAAGTTATTGGCTTCGAATTTGGGTTCCACCAGTTAGACAAACAAATGAGAGAAGAGTGATGATTTCGGTTTTGGATTCAAAGCTTCAAACTCAGCGACGAGTTTGGGAAAGGAGTGCGAGGGAAGGGAGGAAGCTTAATTGAGAAGAGAAAGGAGTGTGAATTTATAATTTTATCCACGTTCTTAACGAAAATGTTAAGAAAGGACCATTCGTGGAAATGAATATAATAATTGGGGGCTAAATTAGTAATATTTGATATGTAGGGACTAAATATGTAAAACGACCTATAATTGGAGACCTTTTATGAAATTTACTTAAAAAAAATAATCTCCTTACACAATATTTTTTTCTAACTTAATTAAAAGGCATCAAGTCAAACTCAGAACATAATCGTTGGGTAGAGCAAAAATGATTTTAACTGAAAAGTATAGAAATGGATCTTAACTAATTCGAACTTAATGGAACTCAATTGAACTAACTCAAAATTATTTTTAAAAGTAAAATTATTTAGTTAAAAATGATACTACATCCGTCTCGTCTCAATATATTCGTCTAGTTTGACTTTTTTGAATTAAACTGAACGAACTTTGGGTCTCAATTAAATAAAAATGTTAATATATTTTAGTATAAAAATTATTTCAAGAGTTTTATCTTGTTGAGAACTATTAAGTATTTAAATTATTGTATCAATTGCAACATGCAACACAAACTAAGCGTAGTTGATGATTAAAATTTATCTAGTTTGACTTGAAAATTGAAACGGGATGAATACACCGAGACGGAAAGAATACAAAAATGGAAATGATATGAGGAAAAGACTAAAGTAGGAGCAGATATTGAAAATATACCAAAATAAGAGTTCTATATTTTTATTCATGTAATAAGAATTAAAATGCATTTACAATTTCAATCATTACCATATGCATTACCAAAAAGTATTGTGAAATGACATATACAGTGTCACATTACCATAATGCGAACTCCTAGTTTGAAATTGAAAACACGAAAATCTTATTTTAATATTTTATCTATGTTTTATTCCTATTATACGCACTAAAAATCTTTTCAAAATAAAACAAGCATAACTTATTTTCAAAATAATTAAAAAAAGAAGAGTAAATTCCATAAAAGGTCCCCAATTATAGGTCGTTTTACATATTTAGTCCCTACATATCAAATATTACTTATTTAGTCCCTAATTATTATATTCATTTCCACGAATGGTCCTTTGTTAACATTTCCGTTAAAAACGTAGATAAAATTGTAAATTCACACTCCTTTCTCTCTTCAATTAAGTTTCATCCTTCCTTTCGTACTCTTTCTCAAACTCGTCGCTGAGTTTGAAGCTCTAAACCCAAAACTGAAATGATCACCCCTTTCTAAAATCAAAACTAATAAGCTTTATGGATGAGTTTTATCGGTTAGTCTCAAGAAATTGCAAAGAAAATAAACATTAAAACTCATCCATGAAGGTTACTGGTTTCACATTTGGGTTCCATCAGTTCGACAAACAATTGAGAGAAGAGTGATAATTTCGAAATTGGGTTCAAAGCTTCAAATCAGCGACAGATTTTGGAACGGAGTGCGAGGGGAGGGAAGAAACTTAATTGAGGAGAGAAAGAAGTGTGAATTTACAATTTTATCCACATTCTTAACGAAAATGTTAAAAAAAGACTATTCGTGAAAATGAATACTCCACGGGAAGAAACTTAATTGAGGAGTATAATAATTGGGGACTAAATAAGTAATATTTGATATGTTGGGACTAAATATGTAAAACGACATGTAACTGACCCTTTTATGGAATTTACTCAATAAAGAATATAAAAATTATTATAGGAAAGAGAAAGTACCTAAAAGGTGAAGTGGTGGCAAATTCCACAAATGTGCCATTGACATATTTAAGAATTCTACCATCTACAACGCCGGTATAGGGCCCTTCCGATTTTGGATCAAATGCTATGTCTTCGGGTCCATAAGCCTGTGGAAGGGGAAGCTTCCATAACAAATTTTCGCCGCCCGTTTGAGAACTAAACCCAAAGGGTGAGGATATGAAGATTAGTATGGTGGAAATCATCAAGATCACTACCATCCTTCTCAAACTCATTATTCACTTCTTAGATTATGGGTTGGGTGGATTTAGAGTTGATGGTATATATGGCATATATATATATATATATATATATATATATATATATATATATATAGGGGCTGGTTCAAGTGAGAATGCACCTTGGTGAAAGAAATAAGAATAAAATCTGGCCTTTGGATCTGATGCATCGTGCGGCTCAGATTGCATTCTGCACTCAAATTTTGAGATAGTCCATTTTCAAAGGATTATGGTGCATTTCGACATGATGCATTTTCAAACCATCTTGGTGCACCTAATTTTGATGCAATCCTAACCCTTAGATCTCCCAATCTAATGCACCAGATTCATTCTTATTTCTTTCATTAGATTGCATTCTCACCTGAACCAATATATATATATATATATATATATATATAT